GGGAAGGTTGTGGTGCGGGCAGAGCAACGTGATCGACGTCTGACAAACTTAGGCACGAGGCATTACGAGGGGAGACGACGCAAAGAGGGGTTGTTGTGCTATCACACATAAAAGTATATATTCCAGTTCGAACCAAAATAGAATATACATTTTCTCTTTTTGTTCTCTCTTTGTTATATTAATGATTAATATATTGGGGTTTAAAAAATTTGCTTCATGATTAACCATTTTTCGTCACATTGCGCATATCAGAAGGCTTTGTCATACGCGATTTGCCAAGCCAACAGCTACCGCCGCTGCCGCTGCCGTAGCCTCTGCCGACGACAACACAGCTCTCAAGTCGCTTCTTTTTTTTTTTTTTTTTATATATATAGTTTTAAATATGTTCATATAAAGCAACAAACCAAACAAGCCCAAACAGTTTAAATTAAATCCACTTTATACACTGTTCTACATATTTTATATTCGATAATATTGTGCACTTGCATTAAGCGGAAAAAAATAATACCTTATTTGCGGTATGAATTGCACAGCTCTTGCATACACAAAAAATTGATTTATAAACTCTTGGGCCTGTTCGCTTCGGTTTTCCTGGTATGCTTTGTGTTCGGTTTTCGTTAAGCCGCAATAGCGGCGTCTCGTTCGCACTGCCGTCACTGGAGTTCAAAACACAGTGTTGCCAGCTGTAACGGCCGTATTGCGGCAAACAGTTCGAGTACTAAAAATTATTCGTGCAATTTATATACGTTAAAATTATGTTAACACATATCACTCGCACAAATTTTTTATTCATTTTAAGCAAAAATGTATCAATAAACAAATGGCAGTAATATTCTGTTCAGCATGTACAACACTGAAAACGCGTGGGCATTTTGCAATACTGGAAGCGAGGGCATTGAAACCAAATGATGTGCACAAAGCGGAATAGAAAACCGGACAAAATGGTGTACATTTAAGTACATTGATCACACACTCTTATAAATACTTCAGCACAAAAGTCACAATTAATTCACATTGTCAATATCAGGAAGAAGATTTAATATTGGGGGCGTAGGTGTTCAATATTGGCATCTGCACACCAGCCATTGTCTCCGACGACTTGGCCATGTGCACTACTTCGACGCCATTTCTGCAAATAATACACTAGCTGACCCTTTCACTCTTATGTAAACCAATGGGCAGTGTAATTATATTGACTGCGGCTCCAGACAGCGGGCTAATTGTAAATTTTCAATTTAACTTTTATGCCATAATCCAGCCAGTTATCAATGGGAAAACACAGCACATACGTGCAACCAAACTATAACTACAGTTTTACACTATTTTTGTATATTAATCGCGACTTTTTCACGTGTAAACAAATTTTCAATGTAGAGCAAACCTCAGTACCTGCAAATGCGAGAACGCACTTATATTAAAACAGTGCTGTGCAACGGGTAGTAAATATCGAATACAGTCTTGAAAGAGACGGTTGCTATAAATATGTATTGAAAACATTTAAAAAATAATTCATTTTGGTAATGAAAGATGAATGAAATAAATGCTGCAAAAATTTAATTTTTGCATTTTATATTTTATAAAGTAATTAGAAATAGTTTTTGTGATTTTCTAAGCTAGTTTAATAAGCCAAACGCGACTCGATTAGAAGCGGGAACGAAGATTCGTGAACAATATTAAGTAAAGAAAAATAAAGAAGATTGTTATTTAAAGTTATATGCATATTCATTATTTGTTACTATTTACTATTCAGTTTAAGAAATTTTAATTATGTTCGAAGAGCAGCTATTACTTGTTAAAATTACTTTACTCGATAACGATAAATAGTGTACCGATAAGTACTGTGGCGGCAAGCTTAAATCTCATATTTATGCATCATTGCATCGCAATTGGCCGTGCATAGTTGCGCAATTAGAACGATTGCATTTTGTGTAAGACGGCCAATTGCTGATGGAAACTCGTTGCTAACCCAAACCGAGAGCTGAGCTCACTATGATCTGGCCCAACAACAACAGCAATAACCAACCAACAAGCTGCCACTATTGGTGTTGTACATTATTATTTTGTTGTTTTCTTTTTCTTTTTTTTTTGGCCTAAATCTGTAGGCCTTGAGGAAACGTCGAAATCGCTTCGACTTGTTTACTGAGCGCGCGCAGTTGAAGCGGGACTGACTCGAAAACTGCAACACACTGAGAGGCRCAAGCACCAACAGCAGCAGCAGTAGAGGCAGAGGCAGAGGCTGAAGCAGACTCAACAATAGAGCGGCCGTCGCGGCGTCGGCAGTGCTGTTTCGTCTTTTGGCCCATACAGATGTGGGCAACGCGTGTGCGTCCGTTATTTTATTATTATTATTGTTGTTTATTATTTAAGCCTTAACTTTTTGCTCGCTGCGCTTGCCCTTTCGTTTCGTTACGTTTCCGAATAACAACAACAGTGTGTTGAATTTTTTCTGATTTTCGCGTTCGCTCCAGAAACAAAAAACAAACAGCTGCACAACACTACAAGAGTAAAGCAGTCGCCGCGTTTTTGATTTCGGCACAGCCAAGAGTGGAGGTTAGTTCGATTGTTGTTGTTATTGCTGGTGCTGGTGGTGCTGCTGCTGCACCTTGCGCAGTCCAGCCCCCTAAGAAACTGCCCACCACTAACTTCCCATTGAGAAACGAACCAAGAATTGCAGTGACTCTGTGTACATGTGTACGTGAGTGTGAGTGTATGAGCGCTGAGAGCGCGCAGCTGTCTCTGTATGTGTGTGTGTGTGTGCGTGTGTATTTTCTTGTTAGAATGCACCTTGTGGTATTTCAAAATCCGAAAATTGCCAAATACAAACGCCTTTCGGAGACTGTTGCGAAATATTCCAGCTGCGCTGAAGGTAAAATTTAGCAACAAGAACAAATACAAGGCCCGTTACTGTCTATTGTTGTAGTTGCTCTTATGAAAATCCATGTGTCTATTTTAGATGCTTTATATATTTGATGAGTATATGTATGGCTATTTACAAAGGAATTCTGATTCAATGTGTGTGTGTGTGTTTGTGCGGCTGTGGGTGTATGTTCTTTATTTTGGATTATGTGGCAGCCAAGGGTATATGACAGCCCCTGGTGCTGCTTCTGGCTTTCCAAAATGTTCCCACACACACACACACACACATGGACACATTAACAGTCTGTGCATTGGCCAACATTTACCTACGTCACGCCCACCTGATTTTCAGTGCAATCGCGTTGGCCCAGTTACGGGCGTGCGCGCGCTCCAAGACAAAATACTCCTACAAGGTCGATTGCCTCTATATATGCTGTATGTATATGTATGTATGTGTGTTTATTTCTATACCAGTTTCTAAACTTGCCGCAGCCAGTTTCAATTTCTACTGGGATTATCTGCTGCTGCGCTGCTTGCAGGTGCTGCTGCTGCTGCGACGGCTMACTCATTACGACTATTCGTTTCTGTCCGTCTCTTATACCTTTTCGCATCTGTGTCTATGTGTGTGTATGTGTGTGTGAGTTTGATTGTGACATAGAAACCAACTAAGAAGTGTGTGGCAATTCATGCTGCGCGTCTCATGGACAAAGCATATTCACATTTACATATCCACAGGCGAACACACAAAAACACACACACACACACACATACTCACAGTTGTATGCTTATATATCTTGCTTGCTCTTATTGGCTGCATATGGTTTTCCATTTCAGCACTCAGCACTCAACATTCACACAGACACACACATGCATATATGTATATGCACATTCCCAACAACATTTTGCACCAACTGACGCACACAATTTCCCCCAAATGCACACACGCACACGCACACACACGCACACAGAGCTTGCAAAAGATCTATCGCATGTAATGAAAACGGGCGCAACTTAGCCTCACGTCTGTCGTCGCCGTCGCCGTCGCCGTCGCCTTCTCTTCTATCTCTTCCTTCTCTTCCTCTGCTTCCCACACCGCTTCCTTCTTCTAACCATGCCGTGTGCCCAATTCACACATAGACAGCGTGCTTTATGTGCGTGTGTGTGTGTGTGTGTCAGTGTGCAAAAATGCTCGAAATTGTGCCTGCAAACACAAACACCCGCAACTGCAACTGCTGCTGTTGCTGCTACTGCAACTGCAACTGTGGTGCAATAAACGCAACGCATATTGCGTCGGCGTTGACGTCGCCGTCAACGTTGGCGTTGGATGCGCTGAGTGTTGAGCTGGATGCCCGGATGGTGGCGACAGTCCGAGGTCGCCGCATAGGTAAGCTAAGCAAGCAAATA